CGACAGCCCTGCGCACGTGCTGCCGTCAGTCTGGAAAAGTTAAGCGCTGTACGGGTTTTTCAAAAAATACCCGATTTTACACGGTCCATGACTGGTACGCGCCGTCCAACAGTCTTGCTGGGCTCGCAAGCTGGACCGTTTGCTGCGCGTCCCGCCCGCACAGCCCTGCTGCCCTGAGCTCGTGCTAGAGACGCGGCTGTTCCGCGCTATCATTGCGCCGGCTCTGATTGCCGTTGCCTCTCCCTCCAGCCCACTGCTAGTGCCGCCAACGCCATGACAAATATAGCGATCACATTGCAACCTGTCCACGCTCAGGCGTGTTGCGGTCGCGTGGCGGTCCCCTTGGGCAGGGGCAGCGGTTGCGGTCATTGCCAACGGGTTGCTTTTGCGGGGGGATGCAGCGCAGCAAGCCCGCCGAACCAAGGAGCAGACGTACCCTGAGTTTGCCAGGGCTTCCCGTTCTCGCCTCGCAGCCCTCGCCCTCGCCAGCCTCCTCGCCGGGGCCCGTGCCAAGAGTCGACGGAGTTTACACCACAAGCCCAAATCCGGTGATTGCGTTCGCACATAACCGTCACCTGCTCATGCAACAACACAAATTGTGGGCCGCAAAAAACAAGTTACAGTAGTCAATAGCTCCTGTACAAGCGCATCCCACTGCTGTTGTTGACGACTATTTCGCAAATTGTTACAGCACATGCAGTCTTGCAAATTCACCATCACCATCCTGTTTCGCATCATGGGCAACATGCCTGCAAGACAACTGATGTCTTGGGATGTCTTGGGGTTCGTGCCTTTTTGCGACAAGATCGTCCTTACTGCAAATCTGCACAACGTCCCCCACAGCACTCTGGACTCGCTTGCTCATGGGACAGCTTGCTATTAAAGGCTTTGTCAATGACCATGCTGGCCGTGGGTGCAGGGCCGCCAAATTCAGTTGCAAACTTTTTGACTTAAGCCGTCATGTCCGAAAAAATGCCCGAATCAGGCAGGCGGGGTGTGGCAACAAGATTTTCCTGAGCGCCGGCGGCGTTGGGAAAAGAGTGGGCATATGCTTGCACACACGGTTTTGGCAGAATGCCCAAGGAGTTCATGCCTACGCTGTGGGGCATTCGCCCGGATGACCAATGACGCATAGACTTCGTGGTGCGCGGCGCCACGCCACGATGACGAGCAATTTGCTACTGGTTTCCCCACCCACCCGCGAAGGCCAGCCACAGGCCGGAGCTGCGGGGACGCACGGGTCTGCGCTCCGTATGGCCGAGCTACGCCAACACAACACGCCGAAATGCGCCGAGCTGAGCCCCAACACTTCCTCGTGCTAGGGTCCGAAAGCGGCAGGCGCTGGAATGGCGAGGCAGCGCGCTTCGTGCAGGTCAAAAAAAGGAAGCAACCTTAAACTGGGATGGAGCTTGATGAAGCCGTTCGCCGCTCAAAATCTGACAGGTGTAGTGCTATTGGTTTAGCGCGGAGCTTTTGAAATCTGTTTTTGACGACGTGTTTCAACATTTGCAAGCGGTTTTGAATCATCCGTTGCTCACCGGTCTTTGCCGGGGCACAGCGGCGCCCGGCCCTACGCGGCTTCTCCATGTGATTAACGTGGCAGGGGCGCTGCGTGCGCGCAAGGCGACGTGGCGATCCACAAGACGCTGCAAATCCATTCCAGCGTCCTCCCATCTCCACAGCGACGACGCACAGACAGTGCGGGCCACTGCGCGCGCGAGCTCGGGGTAACGGGCCAGCTTGCGACGAGGAGCCGTCGTAATCGCAAGTGCGACCCCGTCACGCTTGGGCGTTCCAGCTACAGGACTGCCATCGCATCTGATTGGCAACACAAGGGTGGCATCGCAGCAAAGAGCATCGCCTCACCGTAAAAGACAAAGTCCAACATGTCCAACCGACATCGGTCATCGAACCATACGGCCCTATTTTGAGCATGCATGAGACGCATAAGACGCTCGAAGCGCCAATCAATGAAGCTCAATGTTGCCGGACACACTTTCCAGGCCAGAAAATTGTGAAGCCCCACGGGCCTAAGGGAATGTCCCAATTTCACTCGATCACGCTGTGTTCGTTCACTGCGCAACGTGTTAGGATGCATTTGTAACTGGATTATGGACTTGCTCTTACTGGATTTGCTGCACTCAAGGATCCTGAGGCAGAATCTTTACCTGGGGGTTCAGGGATTGCCGGTTCATCAGGTTTCTCTGCCTTCTCATGGCGGTGCTCGGCAGCACAATCCCAATGCCCAGAAGCACTGACTCCAAACAATGTTTGGAATCGTCAGGCGGTAGTATTGTTTTTTTTTTGATTCGATCAATGCTTCTACGACCATTACCCTTCTTGCCGTTTGTGCGCTAGCTACCGCTCCTGAAAAAGGGCATTTCGCGAAAATGAATGGGTCTGTTCGCGAGCCATTGCTGCGGCACCACGCGACCCTCTGGCCCAACGGCATCAACGGCAACTTGGAGGCGGGCAAGCAGGCCAGTGCGCGGGCCTGCCAGGGCATGGTCCCCCAGATTATCTACGATCGCACAGCAGCCTGTCGCGCCTTCTCCTGCAAGCGCTTTCGGCGCCAAAGTGCGAGGTGCATCAGAATCTGGCGTCAGTGTCGTGCAGGATCGGCGGGGATGGCCGCGAGCCACGCCCCGGCATGCGGGAAAGGCCGGGAACGCAGCAGCACCCGACAATCAGAACGCACGGCCGGCATCAGGACCCGCTTTCGAAAAGACGTCTGAAGTGCGAGAGCAGCATCCCCCTGCCGGCCATGAGCCCACACGACCGGCTCACGCGGTGGCTTGCAACGGCAACAGGTTGCAGGCACGCCTCCCAATCAGGCCGTTCCGTCCAACCGTGGCCATCGAGGTGGATGCCTGCGGCCGCGGCAGCCTGGAGGCTTGGCGCCGCCAGCTTGGTTTCCTAATTGGAGTTCTTGCAAGCAGCGTTGAGCAGCGTCAGGGCAACAATGTTGCAGGAATGGGAGCACCAACGCCGCCCACTATGCCGCAGGTGAAAGGCGCTCTGTGTGCATCAGGCCTAAACCTCTGAGGGAGGCCGCGAGGCAGGCGATGTCACGTGCCTGGCTCTGCGATTTTTGTCTTCCCTGTGCGGCCTCGCAGCTCGCCGCCGCTGCTCTCCTTGAGCTGATCGGCGGAGGAGAGATGTTGGGGTTCGGCACCTCGCTGGATGCGTGATTGCTACTGTTGAAAGGTTCTCAGGGAGTCCGGAACATTTACCCGCCATGGGCAAATGAGAGTTGAAAACGCAAGCATCCACAGTGTCAAAACTGCCGGCGCTGCATGCTCGTCGATCATACTCGTGTTTTCCGTCATCAAAGCTTTCCAGCCGACTACTTGCCACTTGTAATGCTTGCATCTGTTATCCCGAGCATCCTGAGGACCACCGAAAGGACTGAACAAGTGTGCCGCCCGCATCGCGTAAAGCTCTGCAGAACGTAAGCCTGCCTTATCACAATGAAAGCAAGTGACCCAACATGCGCAGCACGGAAGGCAATACTGACCTGCACTCCACCTCCAGGTGCCTCCCAAGTTGCCAGTGCTTCGACAACAATTAGCCACAAGCGTTCCCAAACAGCTCGTCGAGCTTCAGATTCAAAATATTGACCTTCCCATAGTAAGCTGAAGCTAACTGTTGGCAGCTAGGAAAGCAAGGCTTTGCATGGATGTGATCCGCAAGATGTCGCCTGTTGGAGCGCCAAAGAAAATTGCGAGGAATGACCACAAAAAGCTGCAACTCCTCACTGTACTACAGTTGCCCAAATGCTTGGCCTTGGCTCACGATGCTTAGTGACTTAGTGCGAATACACACCGACTACATGCCGAGCAGCAAAGCCGTGAGCTGCCCTCAAGACTTTCTGTGGGGCCTCCCTTGGCAGCAACCTGGAAGCAACAGTTCAACACGTGCAAGGTTAAGCACCGTGTTACCCAGGATGCTGGCATGAAACACATCATTCTGAGGGGCTCCCGAGTAGGCACCGCGAAACGCACTCTGCGTTGGCGGGAGAAGTTGCGGGGATTCGAGAGTGCAGCAGTAGGGCGGCAGCCATCACGAATCTGCTGCCAGTCTAACGGTGCCCTTGGTCAAACGCTCACGTCCGACCTCTACTATCTGCGAAACATGTCTTCAAATTCAGACCCGATTGCAAAGTGCCTCGCACTGGCTTTCGAAAGCAGAAGGCATCACACAAGCATGAGGACAACAGCACGGAGCTACATAACTGCCATGGCAGCACTGCAGCAGCACTGCGGCAGCACCACCCTCAAATTCCCAACTAACCGCCATACCTGTGTTCCATGCTGCGTGCATCTGGGAAACCATGCATCCGACGGTCCACCATGCAGATGCATGGATCTGGTATCCTTGGAGACGTTCCAAATCCACTGGGCACATCATAGGCTTATATAGGGTTAATGGAAAAGAAAATGGAAACTACTGTAGTAAATTGGGGTTATATAAGGATAATGGAAAAGAAGATGGAAACTACTATCTAATGAAGGAAAACTTCAGCTGTGCTTCTGAATACCAGATATCTGGAGTGCATAGTCCGCACTGCCCATCACCGCTAACTCACGCCACGAGCATGCTTTTGCCGGGCAGTCTGCAGGAAGCAAGACCCATATGAGCCATAGTCTAAACTCCTTAAAAGGGGTGGTATATAAGGGATTATATAGGGGACTACTATAAGCGATATTAAGGGGTTTCATATGAGCTTTAGTCTAAACTCCTAGTATCCCCTATAATAGTCCCCCCTATATAATCCCCTATATAACCCCCCTTTGAGGAGTTTAGACCTATAGCTTATATGAATTGTGATTTGGGCTTGAAGAAAGGCAGCGGCCATGGCATCTCCATCGCGCAGATTGGCTAGCGGCTTCAGGACAAAACATCTCCAATTAGGGTTTAGGGTTTAGGGTTTAGGGGTTTAGGGTTTAGGGGTTTAGGGGTTTAGGGGTTTAGGGGTTTAGGGGTTTAGGGTTTAGGGTTTAGGGTTTGCTTGGACAGTTCGCTACTGGCACGTGCCTTCCTTGCAGATCCTTGCTGGGCTGCACCTGAGCACTTAGCTGGTGGGTAGCCAAACGGATGTTTCCAGGATTCTATAAACACGGAGCCCAAATAGTATGGACCCAACAACAAGAGATCTCAAAGGGATCCCCCAAAACGGGACCCCTAATTTTCGGAAACTTCCAAATGCCCACGACACTGAGGCTCGCGGCCCCTGCACCCACCTGGAAAGCGCTCACCACACGGGCCTTGCACTGACGTTGGGATGCTTCAGGTTTAGGGTTAGGGCTTAGGGTTAAGTTAAGGATTTGGCACGCTTGAATGAACAAATGTTACCAACAGATTTCACCTAGGCAGGCCTTTTGCAACAACACAAGTGTCATCCATGGAAACACCTTTGAGGACTGTAGAATATTACCCCCTAAACCCTAAAGCCTATCTAAATTGAATGGGCACCTTCTAAAACAGACGAAAGTTTCAAAAAACTTGGGGATTAAGGGTTTGGGGTTTAGGGTTTAGGGACACCTCATAAGGAGTACAAGAAGATTGGGGTTCACATTAAGGCCCCTTATCCGTCTGTGGGGGTACCTTTCATGAGGATTGCAATAAACCCTAAACCCGAAACCCTCAACCCTAAACCCTTCATCCTGAACCCTGAATTCTCAACCCTAAACCCTTTATCCTGAACCCTAAACCCTAAACGTTTAATCCTGAATCCTAAACCCGCGGAACCCCTGAATAGTAGTTTCGATTTTATTTTCAAGTATTCCCTATATAACCCCTATATTATGCCCTAAACCCTAAACCCTTTATATTCAGATCGGAAACCACCCATTTATGGAAACTGGCGGACTTCACCGAGCGGCTTTGAGCTCGTTGGAGATTTCGAAGGCGTTGCCACTCCTAAGGGTTTAGGCTTTCAGGGTTAAAGGGCTTCGGGTTTAGGATTTGGGTTTTAAGGGTTTAAGGGTTTAGGATTTCAAGGTTTAAGGGCTTAGGGCTTTAAAGTAAGGAATACACAAGGATAGGCAGGGATGTACGAGGGTCGTATAGGGCTATGTAAGGAAAATTCTATATATTACGCCTAAAATGGAGCCAGTAAAAGAACACGGGAAAAGGAATGGCACTGGGTTTATAGGGTTTAGGGGTAAGGTACACATTTTCTATGATACACTAAGCATTGTCTAAGACATCTCCTCAGACCTTTACAGGACTTAGGCTTTGGAGCTACAACCTGCTAAAATGTAGACCCTTACTGGAAAAAACCCTCCTTAATAGGGATTAGAATAGGAATCCAATAATATTAAGGCCTTTAAAAGGAGGGGGTTTACTAATCACGGGTCTACATCATAAGTTGAGTGTTCTCTGACCTGGTGAGTTACTGCTTGACACTCCGGAACAAAATGAGAGTGTAGTCCCCCTTAAGTAGATAGAATATGGCTTTGGGTATGTTATAATAAGATCCCCATATACCCCATATTCTATCTACTTAAGGGGGACTATAACAGTTGGAGTTGTCAATCTTCAAAAACCACATTGGGGTTTATGCCTGTGGTGTTGGGAATCTTCTTGATAGGTAGAAGGTTAAGGGTTTGGGCCACGCAGCATATCGCCTATTCCTCTTGTACATGCCCTCACTCACTACCCCCCCCCACCCTTCCGACTTTAAGGGATAGTCTTTAGGACTGGACGGATGTAAGAGAAAAGCTTCACATCTCCCTTACTCTATGCTGGGTGTACTCGACCTCATACGAACTCATGGGCAGACAAGCCACTGGACAATTGTTTGCCGCTGCTGATAAGCACCTGGGGAAGCCACTCGGTGACAACCGAGATCAAACCGCTGCAACATTGCTCTGCCAGCTTTCATGCTGCTACCGTTGCAGAAGGCACGCGAACTCGGCCCTCAACAGCAAACTAGGAGGTCGACCAAATTACGCAGAGCTTGAACCAAGGAACTTGTTACGGTGCTTGTACTGGAACACTGCCAGAGCATGGCCACTGTGCAAGCAAAAGAGCATGGATCAATAGTGTTCAAGACTTGTGGCGTTAACATTTCGCAAATTTGGCTTACAAATCAGGACCGAATCTGTGGTTCAGTTGTCACTTCTGACTCCACAAACAGCTTGGCTTTGAAAACCACGAAAATCCGTGCTTTAGACTGCTGAGAACCTTCTCGACTTGCTGGTTACTTGTTGGTTGACCACAGCCTATCATAATTTGATATAACTTGACACTGCGTGTTTGCATGCCAACCTACCCTCGAGAACCTGGTTACAGCACAACATCCTTTGAATATCCGCCCTTGTCTAGCCGCCCTTGTCTGAATGTCTTCGAACAAGATATGCTCCACAAACGGATTCAGCATGATAACAAAAAGAAAACTAAAAGAAAAGATGTTCAAAATGCATCAGGAATAATGCGAAGTTCCAGCAACATGCAACCTGCGACTAAAACCATTTGCCGCGCATTGATGTGGGCCAGCCTTGAGCCAGGTTGTGGACTTTCGGTGTTGGCCCTCGTTTGGCATCTGACTCTTGTTCCAGAGCGACCAGAGCGCTGCCGCCGCCGCCGCCGCTGCTGCTGCTGCTCCTGCTGCTGCCGGCGCCGCCGCTGCAGCTGCATGTGAGTCGAGTTGCGCATCTGTAGGCACATGACATCCACCAAACCCGCGCTGACTCGAGGAAATTGGAACTGAAAGCGAGAAGTAACTCAACTTGCTGCAAGAGGCACCATAATTACTGCGTTCAGCCTCTTGTCGAAGATCTTCGTCCAAACCCATTTCTTTAAGAAACCTGTCAATCTTCCATCATGTCCACAACTTGCGGTGCAAATTTGCGCTCCAGCATTTCAAGGCACTACTTTGACTCCCTGCTTCAAGGCCTGTCCATGTTGCCGAGGACTTCCACACATAGCCTTAGGACACTTGCACAGATTAGCATCTGTCTGCTTAAGTGCATGTCTAAGTCAGTGCTGTTGCAGGAACTGCAAGATTTCGAGCACATGCCGCATGCGAGTACCGGTATACCTGCAGACCTCTTAGGAGGACCAGTGCCTTCGAAACCTTTCAACTGCCAGCCCTCTCAGTCACATTTCAGATGCATGAAATCCCTTCAAGTCAAAAATCACAGCAGCGCAAGCAATGCAGCCATAGCAGTCAACGGGGCTCGAAAGAATGTCAAGAGCCCATGGGGCTCTTTGCAAGGATGGACGAATAGAATGAAACAAGAAACCTGGATTTTCCACCTTAGCTAAGACGTCGTTGGCGCGAGCAATGTCAAGGATATCGGCAATCGTGGAAATCTATTCTCTGGAAGTTTTGACTTCGTGAGCTTTTTGCAACCTCTCCAGCATCCCGCACGCAGCAGGTCAGGGCACTCACTCACATCAGCAAGAGGGATTATATAAGGATAATGGAAAAGAAAATGAAAACTACTATGCTATAGCAGTTTCCACAGAAACTATAGCTTCTTGGGGTGCTAGATAACTCCCAATGTGGTAATTTCCCAAAATAAGGGGACCCTAATATAGACCCCAGTATATTATGAGCCTTATTAAAAAAGACCCCCAGATGGTATCCCTAATTTTGGGAAACCCTAATCCCTATAATCCCCTATAGAATTCCAGTTTCCATTTCATTTTCCATTTTCTTTTCCATTTGATTCTCCATTATTAGTAGGTACCCCTAATAGGTCCTGCTTGCTGAGGTGTAGGAGTTGCATACATGTTCGCTCTGAAAGAGAGGAAACTCAACTCTCACAGGTTTTGGACCCTAAACCCTCAAACCCTAAACCCTTAAACCCCGATCCTAAAAACCCTTAAACCCTAAACCCTGAACATCTATACCCTAAACCCTAACCCTACAACCCTAAACACTAGACATTTAAACCCTAAACACCAAACCCTGAAACCCTGAACCCTAAACCCTAAACCCCTAAACCCCTAAACCCGAACCCTAAACCCTAAACCCTTGCACCCTAAGCCATAAATCACTTAGCAGAGGCTTCAAATGTTCCTGGTGACCCACACACCTTGACAGAACGAGACAAAGATTGCTCAAACAAATGCCCATAGATAATACCAACATTTTGGACCTTCAGAGTATCCTACAAATTTAGTAGTTTCCATTTTCTTGTCCATTATCCCTGTATAAGCCTTCTAATCCCACTTGTTTGGTATAGACCCTAATCCCAAAACCCTACCCCCACACCCCAGACCCTACACCCCCATCCCTACATGTAAACTCATGCCTCTATAAACATTAATCCGAGCTCTTGGCCATAACCCTGTGAAGTTCGGCTGCATGTGGGTCAGCTCAGAAAGGCCCAAGCATAGGTCTGACGGCACTTTGAGGGGTCAGGGGGACTTGATTAGTAATTATCGGGTTCAAAGTTATGCAGGGATAATGGAAAAGAAAATGGAAACTACTGTTTAGGGTTGAGGGTTTAGGGGTGGGGTGGTAAGGGGCTACTAATCCGAGGGGAGTTGGGGGAATCGGGATTTAACGTGCATAGTTGCGTCCGGTTTTACGGAGCCCGGGCCCTGCCCCTGCAGTTAGGGTGCAAAGTCTGGAGAGAGTGCCCTCTTTACCGCTTCCTCGGTTCTGGGGGTTAAGTTGAAGCGGATGTCATAGGAAAGGTTTCACCAAAAAGGGCCTGCAGATTGCCTGACACAAAAACACTGTGGCACCAAAACAAAAACACATTGCAGGGAGGGTCTCTCTTCATAAAAGGGCGAAAAGAAGTGCGGAGAGAGCCTGTTGGATCTCAGAGCTCGAGTTGCTCAGGGCCAGGGTTTAGGGCCTGCGGATTCCGGATAACTTTCGGGCTAAAGGCACCGTCACACTTCAGCTGCCACACATGGGTAGGTTGTCCAAGTTCTGGTCCTCTTCGGATATCCGGACGATGGTACTGAAAAACGGACCATAAGTTTGCCCACCTGTAGTCCCCCTTCTTAAATAGGTAGCATATGGAATTGCCCAATTTTATGAAAAAATCCCATATACTCCATGCTCTATCTACTAAACGGGGACTACCCGCAACCCTAAACCCTAAACCCTATATCTACTTACGGGGGACTATACCCTAGACCCCAATATCTGATAAGGGTGACTAGACCCTAAACTCAAATATCTGCTTGACGGGGACTATACCCTAAACCCTAAACCCTATATCTACTTAAGGATACCCTAAACCCTATACCTACTTAAGGCGGACTATACCCAAATTGTATACCCTATTATACTATAGTAGTTTCCATGTTCCTTTCCATTATCCCTATATACACCCAGTAATATACCCCATATTCTAAGGGTTTTTAAGGGGGACTATAACAACTTCAAGCTTCCCAGCCCACTGCCTCGACTGGGCTCTGGAGGAACCGCTGACATCTGGGGGAGCAAGTCCTGAGGGAACAGAACATGTAAGGGTCATATAGGGTGTATATATATATATGTATGTATTCATTGATTCAAGGGTTATGTAGGGTGTGGTGCATTTCCAGGCTATATAGGGCATATCGGGGGGTATGGGGTATAGGGGTGAGTGTTTTATTGTGTAGTATTTCTGGGTTTTGGCGGGGAATCTAGCGTAGATTTACTTCCTGCTTTTGATCAATGGCTACAGGAAAAGATACCCAGAAGTCCCAAGTAGCGTTCAATTGCGTTGACTGTTTAACAGTCACTGAGGCTGAGACTTTCGAACAATGTGCTGAACAACACCTTACAGTCTTGCCCAGGGAATGGGAAGGGCTATCATGGAGCCTTGATGAATGAGTTGGCAGGAAAGGCAAGGAACAAGTTCAAAATTCAAGCATGTTCTATATCATCCGCGAAGGTTCGCGGGGTCTGCCCTAATTGCCAGTATGAGTTGACCTTGTGTCTTCCAGGATGGCAGAACTTTCTGTTGCAATAAGGTCAGGTGGAGCTCCAAGTACGCTTGTGACAAAGACACGGCAAGCACAAGGCAACGAGCCCGGTGCCAGAGACTGCCAAGGATCTGATCGTCCCGAGGCGACCTGTAAGCTTTTAGAGCAAAGCACCAAGGACATCACCGGCCAAAGCATTTCAGCCTTTGTGCTCCGCCACTTTCGCTGCCTGCTCTGCCCTTGGCGACAGGAAAAACAACTTCGACTCCACCTTTCCTGCCCACGACTAGGTTGTGGACGAACATGGCGTCACTCGACTCCGCGGCCCTGAGCAGTTGTGCCAAGCTTCCCAGTCTCACCAACACGAAAGTTCAAGCAACTGCTAAGGCAAACACAAGGATGCAGTTGTGGAGGTGCTTACTCCACTTCTTGCCTGAACCAACGCCAGAGGCAGTCAACCAACCCCACCCCACACCTGAAGGAATTTGAGAGCCTCCTTCATTTACATGTGGCAACCTCAGCATCAAAGAAATCAGCATTGCCAGTGCACCGCTCTGAGGTCGATGCCTGCCGCCTTCAGCGGAGAGGCTGCCAACTGCACGCCGTCTGCACTACACTGACCAATCCAGAGCCGCCGAGTATGCTGCTTGGCTGCTTGGGATGCTCATTCCTGTGCCCTTGCTGCTCAATGCTGCATTGAAAAAAGTACTACTGTCTTAGGTTGGCTAGCAGGGCCACCAAGACTTCATGCGGTGCCGAATCAGGAACTACCTAATCTGATTCTCAGCTGGCAGAGTGACAAGTTTGCAACAAAACACAGCAGGCGAATGCACTTGCAGCATGAACGCCATTCAGGTGAGGCTGCTCAATGTCTCTTCATGTCTCTGCAAGGTTCAAGCATTTGCCTACAGAAACTTGCGCATTGCCTGCAAGAAGTTAGCGGCTTTGACTTGACCTCTGATGCTCCCATCTGCTTTCCTAACCATGTTGTCCAGGGCTTACCGGTTAAAAGATACGTGCAACCCCATCAGCACCGTTCATGTTGCTCTCGGCTTGCGAACAATCAATGCCTTTCAGTAGAAGCTCGTCTGTGTGAGACATGTTGAGTCATCCCAAAACGGGATGGGGCTTGCATGCTGACAGTGGGCATCACAACATACAGTGGTGAAGCCGCACATGTTACGTCATCATCCAATACCTTGGGAAGCAAACATGGGCAAACGACATCCTAAATCCTAAATACTAGTTTCCATTTTGTTTTCCATTATCCCCATATTGCCCTAATGTATACCCTATCATACTATAATAGTTTCCATGTTCTTTTCCGTTGTCCCTATAATACCCCAAAATAACCCCAATATAACCCTTACGTTACCCAATTAAATTGGTTTTTCAAAAAGGTCAGAGGAGATCGAAGAGCGGCATGAGGCTGGTGCGGCATGTGTCCTCCTCGTACACACCTTCCAATGGGAGGAAGCCTGTGTACCTTCATGGTCTACCCATTGGGGTAATATAAGGGTTATATTGGGGTAATATAGGGATAATGGAACAGAAAATAGAAACTAATATAGTATAATAGGGTATATATATTGGGGTACTATAGGGATGATGGAGAAGAATATTGAAACTACTATTTAGGGTTTAGGATAGATTGTCATCTCCATAACAGAGGACAAACCTGGCGCTGAGTTTTGATCATCTGAAATGCTTGTACAGCAGAAAGGTACCCGTGATGCTAGGTCCTTGCTCAAGTGCAAGAGCGCACTTCACTGCCGACTTGTCAGCAGTGGATCTCCGCTGATACTGCATCTTGTAGGACCTTTTTTGCAACCAAAAAAAGCAGCAAACAGCCACATTGCTTTGTTTTAACCTTGAGAACTTGACGGTCCATACTGAATGTTTCCTGCAACAACTGGAGGGTTGGCCACGCCTGGGTGAACATGTTCACTCAGAGTGGGACCAAACCACATACTGAACATCTTGGCACCATAAGGAGATCCAAGGAGCCGCTCATCTGTGGGCGAGAGACGTTGGGCATGTACTGCCCCTGCATTGCCAATGGCGGGCCTGGTGGAGTCCATCAGTCCATCAGTCCGTCACTCTTGTTCCCAGTTTCCATGTCATTTTCCGTGCTCTGTTCCATTTGAATCTCCATTCTTGGCGATTGTATCCTTAAACCCTAAAACCCTATTGTTCTTGTTGTAGGAACACTCCAGAAGGTACCTATATATTTGGGAAACCCCATATCCGTGTATTTGAAAGATTCTAAACCCTAAACTACCCTAATCAGTAACTAGTAGAAATTTCTATTTTCTGTTCCATTATCCCTCTAGGGCTATGCCTATCCCTATATTGGCAATAAGTCTTTGCCCCGTGGCATCAGGCCTAAACCCTAAATTCAAAACCCTAAGCCCTAAATCCTAAATCCTAACCCCTAACCCCAAATCCTAAATCCCAAACCCGAAATCCTAACCCCTAAATCCCTGAGTCCTAAACCCTAAACCCTAAACCCTTAAACCCTTAAACCCTTAAACCCTAAACCCTAAACCCTAAACCCTTAACCCTTAACCCTTAAACCCTAAACCCTATGGCATCAGGCCTTGAGTCGGAGCCGGTGGCATCTGGAAACCCGTGGGGCTACCTAGCCGTCAGGCCCGGGGAACCACCCACAACCAATGGGGTTTAGGGTTTAGGATTTGGGGTTTGGGGTTTAGGGTTCAGGGTTAAGGATTTGGGGTTAAGGAGTTACTCAAAAATAGCGGTACGATTATATGGGAGCTATATAGGGGTTAGATACAGCTTAGGGTTTCCCACAGTTAGGGGTACCTTGTTGGGGGTCCCTATGATGAGGACTATATTTTTGGGGGGTCTAGACCCCTTTTCAAGGAAACTACCAGATGCAGTTCTGCGGCAAGCACTTGCATACGTGCGTGCTCTTTCCATGATACGCTCCAGAATTCCCTGTACAAGCTGAGCATACAACATGCTGTCGTCCGGGTTCGAATTCGTTGCAAATAACTACATTAGCACCGGGCTTTTGGCTCGTAAAATGATATCGTCATGGAGACTCTAACATCGTAGTCAAAAGCCCAAGAAAAAACACTTGAAATGATAAGTCAATTCGGCAAGGAGGCCTATGCCAGCCGAGCCTTCCGACAAAGCAGATGCTCTGCTCACAAGCGCCCAATTGAGATAGTTTTCCTGGATCTGGGAAAGCAAACTTGCTGCCAAACCTTTGAGACAACCCAACAAGACAAGGCTCTTGGTAGGAAGGGGCTTCTTCTTGCCTCGAATACAAATCACGTCTTGTCTTCAATGCAATTCTAGATAGCTCATGCCAAGCTGACAACACTCAAGAGACCTCTCTAGCAGTCGCTTGCGAGTTGCTGACAGGCTCCACAGGTGATCCTAGAGGACCCGGCGATGCCAAGCTGGGAAGAACGATGCCTGCTGCAGAGTGTCACACCCAGCTAGGCCACAAAACACGTGACCTTGCACTTACAGCAGCAACTCAAACTCAGGCCTGGTGAGAACGTGAAGCCGCCCTTCCTTCCCAAGCTTCAGCACGTGACGGAATCCAAGAAGGAGACGAAACAATGCAAAAATCACAGCCAAGAAACGTTGGGCTGCCGCTTCCAGCCGAGCCGAGCGGTGACAAGTTCGCCACAATGCATTTCTTTCCCTGTTTAGGCAGTTTAGCAAATGCCACAGTTTTACTCAGCCGAAGGTATCAGTCCTTCTCCCCTGTCTCGAGAACCAAGGGCTCCAGAAAAGCGAAAGGCATGGCCTTTGCATCAGCTGGCTGCAGACAGCTTGCCTTGAACGTGGCTCTAACTGCACCCCGAAAAGTGCCTTCAAAGAGATGCCCACTGGGTGTGGCTCTCATGTTTCCCTTCTCTTGAGACAGGAGGCTGCTGAGAGGCCTGGCTGGTCAACTGACCTGTTCACGCCTTGGAGCTCATGGGATTACTGGAGTACCAGTCTGCCAGACAGAAACAGAAAACTGCAGCCAAAACACTGGCTGGGTCACTGGTGGGATCCATCAACACATTGGTGAGATCCCCACCAAGGTGTCGAAGCACCTGACAGGTACGAAAAGGACATTAATATGATCTAATCCACATCGGCGCTGCAATCATCGTTGCTAAGCTAAGAGCCACATCCTCGAGAGTCCAATTCTCGCCTTCCTCATTGCCATTTTCCCCCCACTGTAATTTACTGCACACGCTGCGAATGAGCTGTCAGTGCAGGCAAGACTCGTTCTCGTTGACGGCTCCTTCCGAACCTTCTTCGCTGGGATCTCGCATCCGCACGTCTGACGAAGGACGCGATGTGGGAACCTGAGGGGCAATCTGATCCCCTCAGAGCACGGTCAAGAGACGGAATCTACAAAATTGCAGCAGAAGTCGCATCTGGTTTCAACTCGCAGGCAGGCATGGAAGGCGCGGGCCACTGCATCACCACAGAGTCAGCTTGCTGATGCCAAGCTTGTAGAACTTTTCTTCGAAGATCACAGAACACACACATCTACATTGACTTTCCAAGAGTCAAAAGTCGTATGTGCAGCTATGCATAGCCAAAATATCTATCACCCGCATCTGTAGCACATTTTACCTTTGTCTGTTCCCGTTACTTGCCCGAAATAAATTGGAAAGTCGATCGAAGCAGCTGGCAAGGAGCCGAAGGGAGTGAGTATGGATTCAGGTATGGGTCCAAGGACCCAAAGAATAGGGTCCCTTTTAAAGGGGTTATAGGGGGATGTATAGGGGTAATAGGGGATTATATTTCAGGTACTGCACGTTGCAAGCGGCGCTCCGACTCTGATGATGTGGGCAGTCACACCGAACCCAGCATGTTTCAGACGCAGATGATGCACAACTGACAGATGACTACATTACTAAGTTTTCATGCAGGCCTTGCATGGCGGGCATGGAGTTCATGTTCGGCATGGAATTCATTGGTCCTGCGGCACATCCAAACTTCCCGAAATACCTCGTGTCAAACCCTCCCTCTGCCTGGTTGAAAGCCACTTTGCATTGAGGCTGCAGACATCGGAGGTCCACCTGGCCCTGCTCCTCTCGAAACAGCAGTGGCGGGCTGGGACCTGGGGGGAATCCCTGGATCTGTGCAGAGCTTACTGTGGTTTCTAGCTTCGAGTTTGAAAAGCACTCCACTTTCTCCCCCGAAAGCAATTGGAAGCCAAGGCTCTGTTCATAATGATTTGCACATCACTTAACAAAAAACAGCGATGAGAAACGCAACTCAACAGGCGCGTTGGAAGCAAAGCAAAGGCACAACTACGCAATATGGACAACTGCTACAGTGCTGCGACAGCATTGGTGCAAGCTACAACAATAAACCTCGTTCAGGATGTGGCCGAATGCTCCGTGTACATCTATTTGTTCTACTCGTTTGCCCCACTAATGCCTACAAAACTGCGTCCATCCATCAGCCATGCAGCGGATAAACACGGTCAAGGATAACGTATGCTTGCTATCTGCT